TATGATTCTATGATAAAAGCGCAGTCTTGCAGGACTTGATCCAGAACCTGATGTGATTATAATCCAGAGCACCAGTGTTTGCAGGGCCCTTCTGGAAATGGGATGTATGTTCCTGGTCACTAAATGCTTTTCCAAATTCTGTATGGCAGGTCCCAGAGAGAACTCCTGTCCACTCTCCGTAAGGGTGTAGGTTTTGTTAGTATCTCCTAACAATGTCCCAACAACTCTATCAAGTACTCCAGGAGGTGTTCAGACATCATTTAAAAACCTGCTGACAGGTGATATCAGGCAAAGAGCTTTGTGGTTTGGTACGCAGCCACTGAAGTCAGCGGCGAAGGCAGATGGAAATACCCTTATCTTTAAACAGAGCCTTTGCACCAGTGCACTTTTAAACCAAGATCCCAGCCTTTTCCAGGGCTGCTCCAAACTGTCCCAAGTATGAAAGGGGTAAACTCTTTTCTCCCAGATGAAAGAAAGCAAATATTTATTATGCTGATTAAAAAAAACCTAAAAAAAACAAAAAAAAAAAGGAGAGAGAAGCAAGGATTATCTGTTTCCTGAAGGAGTGGAAAATTGGGTAATTACTGTTCTAGCCTTCTGATGATATAACACTGTGAGGGTTTCGCACAGTGATAATTTTTTGCCATGACTTTCTGATCTCACTAGACTTGCAAGCCTTAGAGAAACTCATGACAATTTTAATAGTTTATGAGGCCAAGGTGTCTAGTGGGACAAAAAGGGAAAAGTAATAAAGATTTTAATGGGCATCACCATGCATAAGGTATGAAACATCCCTGAATGGCCATCTGGTTATCCTGTTCTAGTGCAGCACTTGCCTCACTGTCCCAGTTCAGGACTGAAGTGGCACTAATAACAAGCTGTTAACACTATCAAGTATCAGAGTTCAGCTCAAAACAGGTGCCCCCATTTTCAAAATCCAGAATTTGAAGAAACCAGGAATTCTGACTTAATTTCCTAGCACATGATAAACCCCGCCTTGGGAAGCCAGAAGCAATCTAAGTCTGTCTTCTGTTGTGGTTCAATAAATAGCCCAACTGATACTGTGATTTAGGAAATGGCCACTATAAATTTCAAACCAAGGCCTGTCAGAACGTAATTAATCCTTGTGGGATTAACTGCAGTATAAGAACTTCAGTGAGGCTGGTGTTGTTATATAGAATCATAGAATGGTTTGGGTTGGAAGGGACCTTAAAGCTCATCCAGTTCCACCCCCCCTGCCATCAGCAGGGACACCTTCCACTAGACCAGGTTGCTCAAAGCCTCATCCAGCCTGGCCTTGAACACTTCCAGGGAGGGGGCATCTACGACTTCCTTGGGCAACCTGTTCCAGTGTCTCACCACCCTCACAGTGAAGAACTTCTTCCTAATATCTAATCTAAACCTCCCCTCCTTCAGCTTAAACCCATTTCCCCTTGTTCTGTCATTAACTGCCCTTATGAAAAGTCCCTCCCCAGCTTTCTTGTAGGCCCCCTTCAGGTACTGGAAGACGCGATAAGGTCTCCCCGGAGCCTTCTCTTTTTCAGGCTGAACAGCCCCAACTCTCTCAGCCTGTCCTCACAGCAGAGCTGCTCCAGCCCTCGGATCATCCTCGTGGCCTCCTCTGGACTTGTTCTAGCTGCTCCAGGGCTCTCTTGTGATGGGGGCTCCAGAACTGGACGCAGTGCTCCAGGTGGGGCCTTACAATATCTTCCAGGGCGGCTGGCATTGTATGGTTAGGCTCTTGATTTTAGGTTGTCTGTTTCCCAAAGTGCTCTTGGTGGTCTCAGAAGTCCTTGGGTGAGCCAGCAGTGTGAGCTGGTGGCAGCTCATGAGGTGGCAATTTTAGAAGCAGAGTACCAAGCAGTTTGTGGGGAAGTGTGGTATAGGGGTGAATGTTGCTGGGCAGACAGACTTCCTGGCAGGCTTGAGGCCAGGATGGAGAACTGACCTCAGACTGGCTTGTTGGTGGAAGGCAAACAGTGCCTGAACAGGCATTGCCAGAGGGTTGTAGTGAGGCCTGAGGGCACAAGACAACAAACCCTTGTGGAGGAGACTGCTGGCAACTGAAGAGCTTGTCATATCCTTTAGCATCTCAGCCTTTCTTTAGCAGAGTTGTACACCTAATAACTCACCGCACAGAGCTCGTGAAGCCACTGACCAAAGGAACTTCCACCCGTGTTCATGCCACCTGCATTTGTCACAGCATCCCTGTTCTACAGCACCATGCCTGGGCTAGCAGGAGAGCAAGCTGGCTGCCAGACACCACAGGCAGTGGCCATCAGCAGAGACAGAGGAGGAGCATTTGCCCTGCGCAAAGTTTGTAAGCACAGCTCAGTTCCGAAAAAACATTTGCAGCTGACCTTTCAGATGGCAAGAAGTCCTGGTTTTGTCCACTGACTGAGGTGCCGTGTACAGGAGGGACACAGTCCCTTCAGTTTGTGAGACCTCTGCCCCTGGACGGGCTTGTGCAGCAATATGTGTTTTTCAAATGTGCCTTTTTTCCAGCAATCTTTCTTGGAGTTTTCAGGAGGAGATCCTGGGCTGTCAGGGGTCTGCAGCCCACAGACTGAGGACTCCTCTTGTAGAAGTATCCAGAGCTCAGAGGATCAGACAACATGCTGACATCGTTGAGCTGTGCATGGTGCATCTGTTCAGCTTTCCAGCTTGTTTTGCTTGCAGTCAGTCCTCTAGTTTGGTTTATACAGTTCCTTTACCTTTTATATACTATATTAACAGCAAAAGCTGCAACAATATAAACTTGTTTCTGTTTTCTTTTTAAAATCACCTCTTCCTAGTGTGCAGAGTGATATCTCTGGGGCTGCAGTAATGGTCAGCTGGGGCTGCAGAATTGAAGGTTAGAAGGAAAAAATCCAAAACCTCTCTCCTCTGGAGTGTACTACCTCTTCCCTTTTCCTGCTGTGCTGAGGTGGTCGCCGTGGGGATTGCTAGCTCAGTGCATAGATGTTCAGAGCAACTTTTCACAGCTAATGTGCATTGCACTGCAAAATCCATTAGCTTCAGCCCTCTAAAAAGTAGACTTTATAGTGGATATAATAAAATTATAGTGGTATCATAAAAATGTATTACTCTTTCATAAAGGATATTAAGTGTCTGAAATCCATAAAAAGGGTCTCCATCAATCCTCTACTTTCAGTTCCTGCCTGTGGGGCTGAGGCTCTCCTTTTAAGAAATGCACACAGTGTGTCTTCGCTTAACTCATGGTATTCATCAAGGTGCACTGAAGCACCAGGGCCTGATTCTTTTGTGCCTAACAACAGAAGTAGAAAGTGGGTATGTGAGAAAAGTCCTACCTGGCTAGCATTGCCTGTCCAGCTTGCACAGACAGCCATGGTGGTGTGGCACAGTGGCAGTCGAGTCAGGCTGTATAGGAGTAGGACAAGTTTTTCCCCTGCTCCTGAATCGACTAAGAAAGGGAAATCCTTAGCCTTTGCCATCCTCTCACTGTTTCTGCAGCCAGCTAAAAGACGCTGTGTCACTCCCTGTTACTGGCTCTGTGTGCAGTACATTTTTAGCTTTGAGGCAACCTTAGGGTGACTTCATGTTGGTGCCACTCCAGCTGCATCTGAGTTTTCAGGGCACAAACTCATGAGAAATCATCAGGGAAGTGCTGTGTTTCATTGTTCTTAAATTCCTCACATTTTGTGGAAAACACCAAGTTGCTCTTAGCCAGAAACGCTGGCAACATGTCATTGGGATGAGCTATTTCTGTCTCTCATCTTTATTTGTTTTCTAGCATATTCAACTAAGCTCAACAAGTTTCCTGTCTTTAATTTTTATGATGACTTCAAGTATCTGTGTATCAGTGCTGTGAGTCCCAACACCACCAAGACCACCCTCTCAGTGGTCTCAGCATGTGGAGATACTAGTGCATGACCGAAGGACTCAGAGATTACATGGACATCACTAAGGGCAGAAAACTTAACAAAATACTGTATTTTCAGTGGTGGGAGCCAGCCCCTATGCTCAAATGAAGTTATAAAGTTAGAACAGACATGAGATTTCAGCCTTCGTTACATCCTTGTGGTCTTGGAGACCTTCCAGTTTTCTCTTAATAAAGCTGTAACCTTTTCTAATTCACACCCTGTTGCCTTTATGGTTGAGCCAGTAGCTTGGAAACCCAGGGTGATACTGAAGATGTCCATGTATGTAACACTTGTACATAACCTTGGCCTCATGCTGCCATGCAACAGGATTTCCTGCCCTTACCCTCTGGACATACTGCTTGCATGATTTCTGCTCCCAGAGCTAGCCAATGCAATTCAAAGCATTTGAAGACTTTTCTCCAAAAATGAACTCCCAGAAAAATCACTATACACACCAAAAATAAGTACTGTGGCTAAGTGTCAAAATACAAAAAGCCCCACTCACATTTTTATAACAGTTTCTCTGTTAGGTCGATCGAAAACATTGGCAGACTAATGCAGCTGGACTGGCAGCCTGACTGCAATACTGACATCTCATGGACAAAAGAAGAAGCTGCTGCTGCTGCTTCTCCTTTTTCTCCTTCTCCTCCTCCTCACCCTCCTTCTCTTTTCTCCTCCTCCTCCTCCTCCTCCTCCTCCTCCTCCTCCTCCTCCTCCTCCTCCTCCTCCTCCTCCTCCTCCTCCTCCTCCTCCTCCTCCTCCTCCTCCTCCTCCTCCTCCTCCTCCTCCTTCTTCTTCACCTGAAAAGCTTCCGTATGTACACCCAAGTGGTAAGTCACACCTTTGCACCCAGTCACACCTCAGTGTGACTGAAAACTTCATTCACTTCAAAATAAAGCCAGGAATTTGGCTCCTTTCTTCTGAATCTGGATTTCTACAGCTGGTGCAAAAGTGGTGCCAGCCAGTGAAATGGATCTGATCTGTCTGAGCACCCTTACACCATGGGGTTTCACTGCATCTCTTTTGCTTAGATAAACGTGTCACTTCTTTCCAGGACTCTAAGGCTGCCCGGAAACAAACTTCTAGGGAAGTGTGGAAGATGCTGCAGGTTTCTTCAGACAGAGCATGGAGAAGCCCTAAAAGACAATTCCCTACCTGCCATGCATTTCCTTCCCATAAGTACTTTGATGCATCTTACGCCTTCCTCTTGTTCCAGATCCCGTCAGTGAAGCTCAGTGAATTCCTGGAGGACTTTTACATCTGTAAAGAAAACAGGTGGGTCTGACTTTCTAGACACATCCCTCCACACTATCTGATGAGGCCTGGACCGGATCCTCAAGAATGCTGGTGCTGGTTTCTCCATCACCAGCAGCACCTTCAACTCTTCCACCAGAAAGCTCAAGGAGAAGCTTAAGGTTCTGAGCAAGCCTGGGAAACCTGGTGCCCACTCTCACAACAATGTCTACTTCTCCCTTTCTGATGAGGAAGAGATGTGGAGGATGGGATGCCTGGGAGATGACAGCCCCATAGCCCTGCTCTCCACGGTGGTGAATGACCACAGCCAGTACCTGAACATGCGAACCTTACAGGAGTATGCAGACTTAATGTTGGGCAACATTGAATTGCTCAAAGACTCCCAGAACAGGCCGTTTTTTGCCAGAAGAGGTAGCGTACAGCAAGAAAGCAGGGTGAGCATGAACAAAGCATGTTATGGCCATATCTACCATGAGCACCCAAAAGGACACACGCTCTGCCCATAATGTCTTCTCTACAAGTACATGTACACACATGGCCCCAGGCACAGATGGAGGCCAAGTGTCCCTTCTGCCCAGTGGCCCAGAAGGAGGGCAGCAGCATGGGGAATGTCTGGTATGAGGAGCAGAGGATGGGGGTCCTCACCCTCAGGAGTGTTGTTCCCAAGCTGGCGGAGAAAGTGAAGCTGGAGCACTGTGAAAATCTTACTTTTGTCTCCTTCACTCAGGCTTCCAGGAATTTTGTCCCTTTTAGCTCCTTCCAGTTAACCCTGCACTCTGTCTGCTCTCACCAGCCAGCATCCCAAGAAAGTGCTTCACACAATAGCTTTAGTGTCATGTGGAGAAAATAAGCAGCTTTCTAACAAGAGCAAAAAGTGGAAAGACAGAACATTAAATTCTTCCCGAGGCAGACTGCACATGCTGTGGTCCCATTTTGGGGATGTACACAGCCTTGTTCTGAAAGGCAGAGGGACATGGTCTCCTTCACCAGTGCCAGGTCTTCTGAGTGAAGAGGTGGTGGAGAGCTTTTTCCTCATCGGAGGTATCAACACACAAAATCATGGATTTTCCTCCTCAGCAAACATAGCTAGGAGAAAGGAGACTGAGTTTTGGGGACCAAGAACTCTTGAAGCAGAAGTGCCTATGCTTTCTTTCAGAGCTACCGTACAGAAGTTACTCTCTTGTGAACCACATTTACAGTTTTCTCCTCTTTTTGGTGTATTGTAAATATATTTTTGTGTATTTTGTATGTTGTAAATACCTGGTCATTTCCACTGGATTTGTAGGTACTGCTAGAAACTCTACTATTGGCTTTCCAAATAACAAACAAACCGATGAAATTAATGACAGCATCCCCAAAACGCAGCGTTTTCAGTCAGTCATTTCTGAAAGGTGAGCACTTAACTAAAAAATCAGCAGTTTGGATCTGTCCAGGTTTTGAGACATCTTAAAAGGAGCTTATATCAGAAGTCAAATGCTCAGTACCTTTTGAAAATGAAAGCACCCTAAGGTGTTTCAAGTCTGGCACCCAAATGATGTAATTTTCAAAAACCAGTGGTAGGTTGTAAAAATAATTGCCTTAAACTTCCACGGCTACGGCTTGGTCCACTTTCTGTTGAGAGGAAAATTTAATTTCAGCTGGAGCTCTGGCAAGCCTTTAAGTCACAAAAAAGAAAACCTGGAAGACCTAAAACAGAGTAGGACATGTGCAATTTGGGATGATGTGCAGTCTGCTTCTAGTGTAATGGAAAGATACTGCTGGGTTTTTTTCCCCACTGGGTTGCAGGGCTGTGGGAGGATTTATAGTGTTTACTGACCCCACTATACAGTCATTGATTTTCTAATACTGTATAATACCTTGAAATCACAGCTTCATTCCAATAGGTAATAATAGGTAATATCTTTACATGATTGTAAAGATAAAGTCATGACATTTAGTTGTACAGTTTGAAAGAAAGCTTCTCTCAAGAAAGCTTGAATTATCTTTTTTTTAAATATTAGTTTGATTTTTAGGATCTTTATGTTGTAAAATACAGTATTGCTCCTGCCTTTTAAATGCTTTTGCACAGCATTATTTTAATTTTAAGAAAGTAATTTGGTGGGTATTGAAACACAGAGTAGCATCAACTTTAGCAGGGGAAACACCTGCTAGGAAAAGCTGCTACCTACAACCCTCACAGGCTGTGGACATTATTCCCCACTGTCAGGATGGTGTTTTAAGAGTCTGATCCTGGGAAGCCTTGTAAGCCTTTGCTGGAGGAGGCAGAGGATGTTCAGGATGTCCACACAAGCTCATGTGATGGAAATGGGAGCTTCTTCCTGAAGAGGGTTTCAGGTGTGCATTTGTGGGCATTGCTTCCAGAGGAAAAATGCTGTTTGTTGTAATTTTCTTTTGTTTCCTGGGCAATGGTAAGGGCCATGCCCTTTTAAAAAATACCATTCTGAGTCCTGCAGAGCAAATCACCAGTTAAGACTGAAGAAAAGCAGAAGCTGGGCTGGGATAGGGTTTATTTGTCTTTGAAAGGCGCAGAAGAAGCTGTTCTAACACAAACCATTTTGAAACTTGAGCGCACCCAGAAAACCAGACTCTTTGTTAGGTAACTAATCAGAGAACCTGTTTTTCAGAGGTAATGACCTGCTGGAGCTCCTCCTCCAGTCACTGCCACTGAGCAGTTCCCAGGCTGGGACCTTCAGGTGGCTGTTGGCAGTAAAAGCAGTCATAGTGAGGTTTCCTCAGGCATGAACAGGAGGTACGAAAGCACAGTGGCTGTTCCTCTAATCTCAGAAAGTTTTTTTCTCTCAATTTATTTTCTCAGTTGATGTGGCTCTGTTTGGTGGGTCAGGAATGCTCTGTGGTGGGCTCCAGAGTCCTGACCCTGTAGCAGCACAGGGTGGAGGGTTTCCTAGAGATGACCTCAGCTCCCTTCTCTGCTCCTTTGCCCAGGGGAAACCTGGTGTTGCAGGAGAGGTTGGCACTTGCCTGGGTTCAGACCTCTGAAAAACAAACAGCTTGTTCCGTATATTAGTGGAGGGGACATATAGAGCAGTAGGACTGGCTGCTGTAAGGCATGCTGATAGGGACTGCTGTGGTTTCCCTCAACGACTCCAAGCTTCTCCCTGTTCCCCCCAACAGTGTCAAGGCACTAGGAGCAGTGGCTGTAACTAAGCAGCACTCCTCTGCCCATCTGTATGTTGTTTGGAAGAGTCAACAGATATCCAAGGAAAGCATTTAGCTTATGTCCAGTATCCCAAGCGGGAGGATAGTTCCTTTTCCGTGTTTTGCAAAGGGATGAATATTCTGTATATGAAAACTGAGTAAATCCTCAGGGTTGGTAGGTATCATACAATTCAGACTGACTTTGCATTATCCTGTTTGTTGTCCTGTTCTTGTTTTCCTGCAGTGGCATCCCAAACCACTGAGGAAATGCTCACAGTGCATTAGAGTACTACGAGGGGTTTTTTCAATAGTGACATAAAGTGAGTGAAAAAGAGGAAAAAAAATGTTACTGAGTGCTTTTGTGAAAAAGAGTTGGTCTTGATTTTGTGTCACAGTATGTCTTATTCCTTTGTCTGATGTCCTTGAGTTTGACAATTTGATGTCTCTTTTCTCACTTACAAGCAACGCTTGTTCTGAAATAAAAGTAATTTCACCTTTGTAAACTGTGGAACTGAACTGTCACAAAAATTACTTGGATATGGGGAAGAACATTTGGTGTTTGACTGTCAATTTTTGTCACAAGGAGTGTTTGCCTATTAGCCAAACTTCATCTTCAGTACTGTGGGTCCTTTTTTTCTGGTATCTCCTCAAATCCATGATCCTGAAACCTATGTTTTATCTAGCAGTGTTTAACTCATGTGACTTCTTTGGCTCAGCATATAATTATCTCTATTTTAGCAGTGGTTAATGTACACTATCATACTAGGATGTTAGTTTTATCTCGGGGAGACATTTTCCCTCGTGAAGCAATTGGTACCAAAAGGCAAAACAACAAGGCCAAAAGAGGTGTGATGTGACTTGCCAAAGGCCACAACATGGGTCAATAGCAGGGCCATTGTCTCAGCCGTGTCCACTCGTGGCTCCCCTCATCTGCAAGGTCATTATTGATAAACGTAGCTGCTGTGGGAGTCCTGTAAGAGCCAGTACTCACGAATCACGTAGCCAAAAAGAAAATCAGGAGAGGTCAAGAGCACCACTTGCCCTTTTTGACTATTAAATAATCAAATGCTGCAAAGGACAAAGAAACATCCCCTTTCCACCTCTGGCATGACCCCGTTTCCAGCCAAAGCAGGTGTCATCTGTTCTGTGCCCAAACACCCAAATTCCAGGTAGATGTGGTTTATAGCAGCCTTGTGCTTCTGTGGTGCACAGAGAGCTAGGCCATGAGTTTGATGTTTTCAGCCATGTCTCACACGCTGGGCTGTGCTCTGCCCTTGTTGAGGAGCTCTTGCAGACTTCCAGCCAGGCATGCGTGACTCAGTGGGTGTTTCTTGCATTCAACACCTTCCTTTAAAATACCTCTCATATAGCAAAATCAGAGCTCTTAGCAAATCCTGGCTTTACTGATTTTTGTGGGCCATGGGGATTATGCTGGCACAGCATTGTTCCTTATTCGGGGTTCTAAGGTAGACAGGATTACGGTTCATTCAGAATTTGCTGTTAATCACAGGGATTTTATTTTACATTCCCTCCCCGTTCACCCCAGACCAAACTCATCTATGATGTGAGAAATATGCTTACCCGGGCAGGCTACAGAATTATGCCCAAGATTATCAAAATAGTGCCTAGCTGAGTGACTGGCATGATAAAACTTAAGGGCTTATGATTTTGAGGTCTTTGAGGCTTTTCTGCAGTGCAGAATGGGATGGGCACTCACAGTTGCTAGTTACTTTGGAAGACCTTGGCACAGGTCAGAACGACCACCATTGGCATGAGTGAAAGGGGACACACATCTCTCCATATCAGGGTGGGCCTGTGCACCTAAGCACGTTATAGCAGACAGACCTGGTGTTTTAGTGTAAACATTCTTTATCATCAGGATGGATGATTACTACAACGTCCTCCTACACTCTTGTGTGCTGGGGAGGGAGGCAGGTGCTCCTGTTACACAGAGAGAGCTAAGGAGAGTCAGTGTGTGTTTGTATCTTCACTTTGAAATGTGTCCTCCTGACAGTTGAACTTAGAAAGGCACGGAGCCAGCAGAACATCTGGCAGGATGTATTCAGTCCACTTGGTTTAAGTTGAAATTAAGTGATGTTTCAATATTGCCTCCAAGAAAATGTTTTTCTCAAGCCAAGGTAAGACATACATTTAATTCAATTAACTAAAGCATTACATTCTTTAGAAGACTTTCAGTTCCTGAAGACATTGATTTCAGACCTTATCTGCTCAATGCTATTTAGCAAGTCACTAAGCTTTCCTGAAAAACAAAACAAACCCAAAAATGCCACATACCACAGTCCTGAGCCGGGCCATGTAGAATTACACCTGCAGATAGGCAGAGTCCAAAGAACCCTGAGTTTGTAACCCACCCACATAGTTCCTATGAACTCAAAGATGAGTGAGAAGGGAAAATAGTAACAGTTTAAGATGTACCATTTAAAAAAACAAATTTTATGCCCTGTGCTTTTTTTCCACTCCATTTGTTGTCTCTTTGCCAATCTGATGACCTGGGGGATGACCTCCTTAGATAAGCTGAATGCCTGGGGTGGCAAGGCTGTAGTCCATTTTGTTGGACTGGAAGTCTCTAACTGCTGTGGTGGACCAGATGTAATTGCAGTTTTCACTGTAGACAGGCTATTTGCTACACAGAGAGTGAGAAGGAATCACTCCTATTGAAGACAGACACTGCAG